AGGTGCAGGAGCAGCCCCAGGGAAAATCATTTCTCCAAACAGCTACAGGAGGGCCAGGCTCACGAGCTGCCCCCACTGCGGGTCAGCGTCTAGCCAGGATGCCCTTGGCACTGTTCTCTAGCTCCTGGCTCGGGCTCCCCCACTTTCGAGCTGAGGACGCATCCTCCTGGCACGGCCACGCGAGCGGCCCTGACCCCCTGCATGTGGCAGGAAGAGCTCACGTTGGGATGGGGCTGAAGCCCCTGATGCCTGGTCCACACGCCATGACCCGGAATGTTCTGGTACAACAGGATTCTCTATCCCGGTGAGAACTCAGGAGCCTTTGTCTAAAGGCCACCAAGTGGCCGTGGGGTCCTTATGACCTCTGAGTGATGCCCGGCTTCCCTCCACCACCCTGGTCCATTGGGGCCCAAAGACACCCCTCCCCAGTCACTCCACCCCGAGACCAGCTAGGGGGCTCTGACTCAGAGACTAGGGTTCACCAGAGCAGTTTTGGAGATGGAACCCTGTTTCTAATAAAGCAGCAGGAGGCCTGAGGATTCATAATGCCGTCTTCGTGCCCTTGTCTGGCACACACTGGCTGTGACCCCATGGTGGGGGCCGGGTGGGAAGACGAGCTGGGAAGTGGGACCCCGGGCCCAGGAGACGCCCCTGAAGGAAGGGGCCGGGTGTCTGGGACTCCCCTGTTGGGCTCTGGGGTCCCAGGGCCTAGCAGAGGACATGTGTGCTCGCAGATGATGTTCTGCAGCCAGGAGCCCCGGGACAGTTATGCTGTGACCCCAGCTCCAGGTGGGTCACTCAGGGGCCGGTGGGGGCAGCTCTCTGCGCCCAAAGCCGTAGTGATGTCCCCACAGTGATGTCCCCTGGTCTGTGGCCGACGTTACAGAGATTAGAAAGAGCAGGACATGGTGGGAGGTTGGGGAGGAGAGTCTGGGATCTGAGATGCGTCTTTGCACTGACTAGGAGCCACTAGCCTGGTGAGTGCCCGCTCCACGCCAGGATGGGAGGTCCAGCCTGGCCCACAGTGGAAGCCGAGCACTGCCCCTCCAGCATCTCTCTTTGGCATTAGAGTGGGGGTCTGAGGCGGGGGTGGTGCGCCTCTCCAAGTAGACAACAGGCTGTCTCTGGAGGCCTTGCAGAACCTTCCGGAACAGCTGTGCAAACTGAGCGTGGGAGGAGGTGCGTGTGTGCTCACATCCTCAACCCTCTCCCGGGGAACGAACGGAAACAAACAGAACCAGGGACCCTCGGGATCGCGGGCGCGGAGACGGGAGCAACGTTCAAGTCCAGGGGTGGCCAGCGCTGTGGCCTGCAGAGGGCCATGCGCCCCCATGAGACTGCCCTGCACACCCCACGCTGCCTGCGAGGCTGGACACGTGCAGCTGGGCCAGGGGGCCATTTGTCTTCTTTGCTCTGGACAGCTGAGGCCCGGCCCCTGGGGGGCATCAGACCAGGCCTCAGAGAAGAGCCACAGCCCTGGGCCATGTCCCACCTTGTCCTGGGCATGGTGTGGGTGGGGGAGGATGATGCTCGGGACACACCTGGACTGAGGCTCCCAAGGCCTTGGGGGACAGAAGGCGAGTGCATGGCCTGCCTTTGGGAATAACGTCCAGGGCTGCAGGTTGGCAGCAAGGCCTTTCAAGGTCCTGTTCTGGCCATACCCCGCCCAGTGTCCCTGTGCCACCGCTGTCCACCCGGGCACCAGACCCAGAATCAGGTGGAGACTCAGTCATGTGGCCTGAGCTGCTGGGAGCCGTCTATACCTGAGTCCCCCCCACCCGCCCCCGGTCTGCACAGTCCCCCATGGCGGAGGCGCTGGTGCCCCAGGCTGGGACACAGACTCAGCTGGGCTGGGTCCAGTTAGCGGGTCCTCATCCTGAAGCACCACAAGACTCATGCCAAGTGAATAAACAAGAACATTTCGACGCTGCTGGGTCAAAGGTCAATGTAAGTATCTTCCCAAATCCTCTTTTCAAGTAGCTGAACCCTTTCACCTGCACTAGTAAATCAAACTTCCTTCAAATGTGTTTTTTAAGTGATATGACAATTTGCTTTTCTTCACTGCTTGCCAAAGGTGGGCTTCAGATTATTTGGACAGAAAGTGGTAGGTGGTCAGTACAGCCTGAGGGATGTCTGGAGGGTCCCTATAGGCTCAGTAGAGTTTACAGCCCTGAAAGGGTCCCAGTGGTCCCAGGCTTGTAAAAGTGGCTGAAGCAGCAACTAATTAACACACTGCAGCCTTGAGAGTGATTCTTGGTCACCGTGGTGACCACACAGCCGAAGCAGACCCAGATTCCTGCTGAGACTGTGTGCCAGGCAGGTCCTCCAAGTTGCCTTGGGGACTGGACCCATGTTCTCCATCAGCAGAGCAAGGTGGGAGCCTATGGCTGGGCATCCTTTGACAACGGAGGAAGGTCCAGCATGAGGCAGTGTCCATGCTGGTGGACACTCACAAGGATGCTTGAGCCTCTGTTTTGGAGCCTCCTCCTGCAGCTCAGGATGATGGAGCCACTGGGCTGAAGTATGCACAGGGAAGGGACAGTGCAGAGCACTCCTGGCCTCCTGGGGGTGTCCCTCACTGGAGACTGTTGGGAGCAAGGGTCACCCACCAGCCAGGATTTTGCCCTCCAGCCAAGTCCGGATAGTTTACGGATAAACTGTGGTGCATCCAGACAGTGGAATATCATTCAGCAATAAAAAACGCGCTCTCAACCCACGGAACGACACGAGGAACCTCAAATGCATATTACTAAGGAAAAAAGCCAGTCTGAAAAGGCTATATCCTGGATGATTCCAACTATATGACGTTCTGGAAAAGGCAAAACTATGGAGACAGTGAAAGGATCAGTGGTTGCCAGGGGTTAGGGGCGGGAAAAGGATGAATCCAGGGAGCACAGAGGATTTTTAGAGTAGTGAAATGAGTCTGTATGATATTATGATGGATACATGTCATTTTACATTTGTCCAAACCCATAGAATGCACAACACCAAGAGTGAACCCCAGTGTAAGCTGTGGACTTTAGTTAACAATAAAGTATCAATATTGGTTCCTTAGTTGTAATATGTATCACACTAACTAATGCAAGATGTTCCTGATGGGGAAACTGTGGGGGTGGGTGGATATGGGAACTCTATACTCTCTCTGCTCAGTTTTTCTGTGAATCTAAAATTGTTCTTTAAAAGTCTATTAATTAAAAACAAAACAAAATACAACTTAAAATACTGGCAGCAAAAGCAGGTGAGCAGGGCTTCCCTGGTGGCGCAGTGGTTGAGAGTCCGCCTGCCGTTGCAGGAGACACGGGTTCGTGCCCCGGTCCAGGAAGATCCCACATGCCATGGAGCGGCTGGGCCCGTGAGCCATGGCCGCTGAGCCTGCGCGTCCAGAGCCTGTGCTCCGCAACGGGAGAGGCCACAACAGTGAGAGGCCCGCGTACCGCAAAAGAAAAAAAGCAGGTGAGCAGGTAGGGGGAGACAATCAAAGCATTTCGAGGCCACAGGGCCATAGGGGCGGCAAGGACGGGGATTAAATTTAGACTTTCAGTTAGTTAACTGTGTACTTGCCTGAAAGAAACAGAGTGTATAACTTGCTAATTAGGAAAGGGGGAATAATGGAACGAGAAAAACCTCAAAAGAAAGCTTTTTAAAAAGGGCAAAAAGAATACACAAAGATGTGGAAATAAAATGCAAATGTACCAGCTGAGATACGTGATACTTAAAGAGCATGAGCCTCTTTGGAAAAAGAATCCTGCTCCGTGCTGTCACAGAGGCAACACCGAAGAACAGGACACAAATCCAGACTCTGCAAAACAGGAGATTACTATGACTTGATCCTTGGCCAACACATTTGAAAACTGATGAAATGGACAAATTCCCAGGAAAATGTCTGCCATTAAAATTGCCTCCAGGGACTTCTCTGGTGGTCCAGTGGGTAAGACTCTGCACTCCCAGTGCATGGGGCCCAGGTTCGATCCCTGGTCGGGGAACTAGATCCTGCATGCATGCCGCAACTAAGTCCGCAAGCCACAACTAAGAGTCCACAAGCCGCAACTAAGAGTCTGCAAGCCGCAACTAAGAAGTCCGCGTGCCACAATTAAGAGTCCGCATGCCACAACTAAGAGTCCGCAAGCCACAACTAAGAAGTCCGCATGCCACGACTTAGAAGCCTGCATGCCACAACTAAAAGATCCCGCATGCTGCAACTAAGACCTGGTACAGCCAAAATAAACAAATAAATAAATATTAAACAAAACAAAACACAACTGCCTCCAGAAAAAAACAGAGACCCTGCCTGTCTGGCAGCCACAAAAGGGTTGTCAGTGGCCACAAAGACCACCCCCCCTCCCCCTGGGCCAGGCAGTGATGTAGGAGAACCAACTCTGTCTTGTCTACGAGGGTGAGAGTAAAACCTGGAGCAGAATCAGACAAGGGCCAGTGTGGATGGAAAACCACAAACTTCACTCACTGACAACACGAAAAACCCAAACGAAATGGTACCAAATTACACCCATTAACATGTTACAATATACACAGCACGACTGAGTTGATTTATCCTAGCAAGGTAAAATTGGTTCCATTTTAGCAGTGGTAATGTAATTCACGCTAACAAATTAAGGGCAAAAAAGTGATCTTCTCACAACTGGTGGAGAAAAAACCATTTGCTAAACTTCAACACCCATTCATGACTAAAAATACCCCAAACAAAACCCATAGAACTTCCTAGTAAAGAAGAAACAAGAGAACTTGGTAGATATGGCCACAATAAACAACCAACCAAGCAAGCCACAGGTGGCTCCCCCAGGTGTGGGATGCCCCACTCCTGCTGCTGCCGCACCCATCATCTGGGGTGGCACAGCACACGGGCCCCCGGAAACCGAGGAACAGAAAGATGGAGGCAAAACTAGCAGAGCAACGAATACGCTGTAGGTCAAACCTCCATAAACGAGGTGAACAGGACGTGAACATTTCAGGTTTTCCTTGGGAACTGACAAGCGGCTGCTCACCTGGAACAGGATCTGTAGGGCCCCATGGAGGATGCACATCTGCCGTCCGAGGAAGACGAAGAAGGGCACCACGAGCTCCAGGAAGTGGTTGCTGAGGGTCTCGAAGCGGTGGAACCACCATGGGGAGTGGTGCAAGAAGTAGGCCACGGGGTTGGGCACCGGCTGCGTCTGTGGGATGAAAGGAGGCCCATGAGCTGCGCCTGGAGGTGGGGACCTGCCCTCCCTGGCCCTGCTCTGTGGTGCCCGCTGGTGGCCTTTTGGGGAAGGGGGGTGCATGGGGCCGCCCTGGCCGGGAGAGGTGCGGGGAAGACCAGCGGCGTGGCCCACCCTCCAGCAGCTCACACGTCACCAGAATGGGGAATGGTGGGGGGCCGTGGGTCCCGACCTTCTCTATTCGCCTGGCTTCCTGTAATTCTGACACTGACCCCTTCAAGGGGACCCTGAGGGCCCTGGTAACGCAGGACCTCAGATGCTGGGGAAGAGTCTGTGGTCAGAGCCCTGAGCAGCATGGGCACCGGCAAGCCCCCCGCGAGGGGACAGGGCACAGGTGCAGAGGCAGGACCGTGGGACGCTCACACATGGTGGATTTCCTCTTGGAGGACAGTGGAGGCTGGGGGAGCGGGTCCTGGCCCCACGTGTGTGTTCCTGGGAACAGCCTCCACACGTGTGCGGGGTGGGAGGGCACAGCAGGTCCCCGAGGCCCACGTGTTGACTCAGCCGTGGTGCTGGCCGCCTAGGGCCCAGCTGATGGGCCCTGCGCCTCCAACCACAGGCCCTGTCCTCCCCGCTCATGTGGCCGTCCATGCTCAAAAGGCCAGCTGTGCTGACACTGTGTGGGGTTGGGGTGGCCCCGGTGTGGACATCCAGCATCGGTGATGGGTACTGTGTGCGGGTGGCCCTCCATGCTGAGCTGGCTGGGGTGGGACACCAGGGCGCGGCAGCCCCAGACCCGGTGGACCCGCAGCACCCACCATAAGGCTAACTGTGCCTCTGCCGTCTGTGGAGAGTGAGTCCGTGAAGGGCGCCGCGTCTGCTGTGAGGACAGGGTCGCTCCTTTCCACTCGCACCCACGTAGGTGTGGACACGTGGGCTGTCGTACTCGCTGGGCTGTAACCACCCTGAGCGTCTCCCTGTTATCCGGCTCTAAAGATGCTCAGGGTCACCTGAGCCCCTTCCTGCTCCAGCCTGGGGGCAGCCGCTTCTCCAGGAGCCTGGTCCCTCTAGGTGGAGACGGGTGTTAGAAACCCGGTCTGGGCATTGCTGTCTCCCTGCCCCGCATCCCTGCTGGCCTGGCTCATAAAACTGCGTTTAACTGTTTTCTCACTCTGTCTTGGCTGCAGAGGTTCCCACCTTGTAAACGTGGAGGGCGGATCAGACACAGAGAGGCAGCCCCTTTGGGGAAGGGTGTGCAGGGCTGGGGGGTGGGGGGCTCAGTGTGGGCAGGACCCTGGGGAGACATGGGGTTGGGGGAGCAGAACTGTTGGGGCCCTTTCTGCTCAAAGGCCTGCGTTTCCTGACGCCAGATTCACCACATGACGGTTAACGCCTGAGTGGAATGAAACCACCATGGTCCTAAAACTGGAGATATTCTGGTGGTTAGCAGCAATTTCACTAACAACACAAAAAGGCAGCATCAAATCAGTTCCAAATGTTTCAGCTTTTTTAAACAACAGAGCGTTTCCTGGATACGGTGTGTACACGCATGTGTATGCGAGTGTATGTGGATGTGTGCACGTGACAGCGAGGCTGCCAGAAGGCGCCGTGGCCCCTGGACAGGTGCGTGCTGTGGACGGGCCACACCGTGGGCAGCACTGGGAACAGTGACTGAGCACAGGAGCAGCCCCTCTGCCACATCTCAGGACCCAGCTCAGGAGGCGGCCCAGCCTCGGGCAGCAGAGGGACATGTGACCCTGCACGCTCTTCAGGACTGAAGGCCCCACGTTACCCACAGCCACAGGCAGCTGGGGGGAGCGAGGCCTCAAGGGGAGCCACCCCCGCCCGCCCCCGACGTTGCCTCTCATCAACACAGGTTACACCCACCAGACAGAGGGAAAGGGGAGCCTGGGATCCCCTGCACTGCCCGCTCCCCAGAGGCAGGCGGGATGTGTGCCCACTGCATCCACTGCATGCCCACCAGCCGTTCCAGGTGGGAGGCGAGCCAGCTAGACCTTCCTTCTCTGTTCCCACCCCTTCACAGACCAGCTGAGGTTCCCCACCCACCGGGGGACATTCTTCGCTCCCCTGGGGCTGAGAGGGCCTGGCTGGCAGCCAGCAGGGAACGCAGACTCAGAGCTGAAGCACTCCTGAAGGCTCTCCTGTTCGTCCCCCTGCCCCCCCACCGACCCCCAGTCCTGGAGACGCCCAGGCAGGAGAGCCAGGCACCAGTGGGTTGGGACCCCAGTGGCCAGGGATGGGTGGGGTCTCCTGCCCATGAGACCTTTGGCCCTTGTTTTGTCCCTCCTGGGATTTCTGCTGGGCTGAGTCCCCAGACCTCCACCCTTGACCCAGAAGTGGCCGACCCAGGCAAGTGGATGAGGCAGGCAAGGGGCAGGGCTCCCTGGTGCTGATTGACGGGGCGGCTGAGGCAGTTGTCAGGGTGCAGCGTTGGCCTCCTCGCTCCGGCTCCCGGTGGGTTCAGGACACAGGCAGGAGAGAAGTGTCTGCAAGGGGCCCTCCTTCCCGCGGGGCCTCTCCAGGAGCCCAAGTGGGATCCCAGGAGGGAGGAGACTGCTGCCCGCTGCCCCGGGGAAGGAAACAAGGAAGACATCCTGCTTGACAGGTGGCGCCCCAGACCCAGCAGGAACGCAGGGCCCCACGTGAGGAAAACAGGTAGTGACAGGCACGCGGGGCAAATGTGGATGAGCTGACACCACGCCGCCAAACACCCTCGGGGTGATTCACAGGGAAACGATCCCAGCCTGCACCTGTGCCCCCACATCGCCGCACAGCCGCGCCACTCACCTCGTAGTGGAAGTCCATGCAGGTGAGGTCCCGCCAGCACTGGTCCCCCCGGATCTTGATCAGGCCCTGCCGAGGAAACAGAGAGGAATGTGAGCCACCTCCGGATGGACCTGCGGGAGTGACGGACCTCATGTGATGCCTGAAGCGACATGAAAGGGAAAATCTGAACAAAGTCCAGGAAAGACATGTTTAGGGCTTCTGAGGACTAAAAGTAGCAAACACAGGGAAAAAGAAACGCTTTAAAAATAAATTATTTATTTTTGGCTGTGTTGGGCCTTTGTTGCTGCGAGCGGGCTTTCTCTAGTTGTGGCGAGCAGGGGCTACTCTTCATTGTGGTGCGCGGGCTTCTCATTGTAGCGGCTTTTCTTGTTGCGGAGAACAGGCTCTAGGTGCGTGGGCTTCAGTAGTTGTGGCATGTGGGCTCAGTAGCTGTGGCTTGCGGGCTCTAGAGCGCAGGCTCAGTAGCTGTGGTGCACGGGCTTAGTTGCTCTGTGGCATGTGGGATCTTCCTGGACCAGGGCTCGAACCCGTGTCCCCCTGCATTGGCAGGCGGATTCTTAATCACTGCGCCACCAGGGAAATCCCACTCTTTCCTTTTTATAAAATCAGTTCCTCCTGTGTTTCTTTAAAACCCAGTTTTTAGACTCTGAGCATCACCATAGTAATGCACCTGTGAGGCTTTAGAAAAGGGCAAATTCGCAAAGCATATGAGCATAACCTGACTTAGACGCCAAGGAAGACGTGGGAGGGACGATGTCCCAACTGCTACGGTGATGACGATTCAGGAGCTCTGGTGGCCTCGGTGAGAATATCCACCCACCACAGCATGCAGGAGACACTGTGCGTAGGCCACAGTACAAGGGAGAACCCGGTACTCAGGCCACAGCATGCAGGAGACCCTGTGCTCAGGCCACAGCACGTGGGAGACCCCGGTGCTCAGGCTCGGGAGGGGCTCCAGGGAACTCCTGTGCTGCCCAGTCCACCGGGACAGTGGCTGTGGAGAGAGGGCCTCTGCTGTGAAGCCTGTGGGCGGGCTTGTCTGCAGCCCTGCCAGTCTCCCTGCCGGGCAGCGGCCAGCATGGCCGGTCCACAGTGGCCAGGAGGACAGTCAGCTCACTGCCTGCCGCACTCCCCCGTTCACTTGCCCTTGGGAATCACAGCTCCACGCGATCCCTTCACAGTCAGAAGCAAACTGCTCACCAACGGGAGTAAAGCTGTTGCTGGATGCACAGGTTCAGCCCTAACGTCTGTCTCACATGACAGCTGGTCTGGAAGGTGAGAAACTGTGTCGCCAAGAAAGCAGCCTGGATGGCGGCCTGGTTCTCTTGGCTGGCGGTCTCTGCAGCTGCAGCTGCTCGGGGGCGAGTCTCCTCAGCCCATCCTCGCACCTGCCCAGCCTGTCCCGGGCACCCTTCCTCACTGGAGCCAACCCACCGTGGACTTCAATCACGTCTGCAAAACAGCCTGGCAGCCACGTCGAACTGGGGTTTGGTTGAATACCTGGGGTGGCAGCCCAGCCAGACTCGCACATAAAACTGACCTTCCCATAGGGAAAGAACTTTGGGGCAGTTGAGGGCTCTAAGCCGGGGGCAGGACAGTGTGAGTCGACAGGTCCTCTGACGGCCACGCTGACAGCAAGGCAGGATGGCTGCCCAGGGTGTAAGACTGCCCACCCTGGACTTGCCTGGACCATGGAGCCCACAGGATGGGCCGAGGGGGCAGCTGACACCTGGCCTGGGCCCCTGTGGGTGGCACAGACGCAGCGACACCCAAAGGAGCAGGGACAAGAAACAACAGGGAAGCTAGAGCCCACGTGGCGGCCATGCTGGCAGCTTCCACAGTGAGACTGAGTGACCGTGTCCTGGCCGAGCACATGGGCCAGGCATGAGCTAGCTGTGCGGCCCAGCAGAGAGTTTACAAATATGTCCCACAGAGGCCTCGATACTCAGCTGTCCTGGGTGCCGTTCACACCCAGTGGCTGTTCCGCACCCACCTCTCTGGGGCCTGGCGCCCTGCAGTGGGGCCGATCCCATGTCAGGGGAGCTTGTGTAGCGGACGTGGAGCCGCGCTCCGAGGACCCGCCTGCTCTGTCTATAGACTCACAGAACTAGTCACTTTGAGAAGCGGTTAGTCAAGTCTCGGAAACTGGGTTTGCTTAGATCACAGAAGTGCCGGAGACAACTTCCAGTGTGAACTCTGCCATACACGGTCGCATCTGTACAGAAACAGCACTTCAGAAAGCCTATCGTGTCCTGCCGGCGCGGATGAACCGCTGGTTTCTGTGGCAACGTGCCTGCTCTTTCGGCAGGAAAACAGCCACTGTCACACTTCACTCCCCGTGAGTGCAGGCTCTGCTCCCTACATCCCTTGGAATCCAAGAGGCACTCTTTGGAGATTCAAACCAGGCAAAGAAGAAAAAAAACAAAATAATTAAAATGTCATTCAAATTCTAAGCTGGTATGAGACACTTAAAAATCTGAAACATTCTTCTGGGAGTGGAGGATAATTATATTCCTCCCCATCTATTGATTTCTCTCTACAATGCAGATGTCAGATTTTCCACGGATTTTTTTTTCTTCCAGAGTAAGTGTCAAAGGAACAAAGCCTTCTTTGAGCCTTTTTCAGCCCAAAATTAATTCCAAAAAAATGGCACAGACAGACCAGTAACACACCGAGTGACCTCCAGCTGTCCATACAACCTCTGCTCTCCCTGGGGAAAGGGTGAGTGCCAGGATGCTAGAATATTCTGGGGCGACCGAGGAGACCTCAGGCCTTATGGGCAGCGGGTGGGGGCAGGTGCCCGGGGGATGCACAGGGGCTTCTCTCTAAAGCTCACGGGTCCAAGAACATGCTCCTTAAAATCTCCCATTTGGAAATGGGAAAAAGCAAGGCCTTTTGCCACAGAAAGAACATCAATTTCTGTGACGCTGCACAAGTCCCATCACACCTAACTGGGTGGGGGGCTCCCAGGCCTGCAGCCGGGGGAGGGGAGACAGCCCTCGGGTCCGAGCCAGCACCGAGAGCTCCCTCGGCAGTGCCCCCATTTTGCACGTACACTGCACCCCGTTCTCTCACCGTCAGAGTCTGTCTCTCTGGAAATCCTTTTCTCCATCTGCAGACACGGCTGATCAGTCCTACACCTGCTCCTTTCCCACAAAGGAGAAGCATCATCAACCTGGGTTTGTAGGTACGGGAAGAGGGGCTGTTCCCTCCCTGGAGCAGGCCTGCTGGTCTGGGACGTGCTCACAGCCACGGGGGGTGGGAGTCGGGATGCCTTGGATCTGCTCAGACCCGGCAGCACTCTGCATCTCCCCTGGGAGCTGAGGTGGACCCACAGGACCCCACATGCTCTGTGAGCTGGTGGATGACCGCAGCGTGAGGCTCATGGCTTAGCGCCCAGATCTCACCTGAGTGTGCACAGGCTGGCCTGGGGTCTCTCAGGACTGACCTGTCTCCACATCTGAAGGGGCCCCAGACTACACAGGGTTTCCACCTAGCCCCTTCTCTCCAGGTCTGGGGCAGTGTCTACACTTTCAGACTCCAGGGTATGATTAGATGGAAATAAACCCTCTGAATTTACCAGTGCAGTACATCTACGCAGATAGCAGGCACTGCATCAGCTACAGGGGAACCTCTGAGCCGAATGTGCAGGGAGAGAGAGAAATCGTGGATGCTGTTGGTGGGGGGTCTTGTTGTGCCCCCTCCCTGAACCCTGAGAGCTTGTGAAAACTGCCCAGACCTGCAGGGGCTGTGGAGTGGGTGGAGGGGACAGTCTCGGGTCCTCAACAGCTACTGCAGGGCTGGGTATGACCGTCCTCCCGCCGAGGCTGGTTCGAGACAAGTGGCAGAGAGACAGCACAAAGAGGGCGCTGAGCCACTGGGCAGGGGGCTGATGTGAGGGGCGTGCAGCTGGGCAGAGGTCAGAGCCCGTGGACGGCGCTCCCCAGAGGTTCCCAGGACGCCTCCGCCGACGGCACCATGGGAAGGAGGACAGAGCAGCCCACACTAATGCAATAAAGCAAATTAGAATAACCGCTCTCATTTTGGAGTGGTGATCCCAGGACCCGGCAGGCTCGTCAAGGAAGTGGCAGTGATACCCGCTTGTCTTGGTCTTGGGGGTGAGTCACATTCCAACATTTATTTCATTATGTTAATAAGATTTTACTGTAGGAACTGACTCCCAGAGAGGCCCCGACCTGAAGGCTCTTTCCTACTGAGCTCCTGCTCTTATTTGCTAATGGGTCTGGTGTCTCGTCTCGCTCGCTCACCTTTCAGAGCTGCTGCTGCCACTGTGGGGCCGGAGCATCTCTGGGACCCCACATGGCAACGCGGAAACTGCTTCAGATGACCTGCTTCACCCACTCAGAGCAGTCCTGGGCCTCCAGCCTCCAGGGAATGTGCACAGACCCAAGTGCAGACTTGCTGGGTTCCAGGAATCCTCCTTCTCCAGCCAGCGAGGGAAGCGGGAGCTGTGGGCCCAGCGCAGATGCTACAGCAGCGACAGCGTTGCTTGGAGGCTGACACAGAGGGCCGTCACCACACCTGGAATAGCTGCCAGCAAGCTCAGGCAGAAATGTGTGCCGTCTGGACGGAAAGGGGCGTGGCTCACTCCCGACGGCGGGCTCTGGGGTGAGGCCCAAGGGCTGCAGTAAGCTGTGACCCCCTAATCTCCAAGGTCTGTGGCTTTAATGGGGTTGCATCTCACAGGGATCCTTGCGTGAAAAAGCAAACTCACACGGATTCTTAAGTCAAAGGATTGAGATACAATTCACATGAAACAGAACGCACACAGATGAAATGTCCAGTTCAATGTGTCTGACAATTGTACACAATCAGGAATCCACCCAAAACAGGACACAGGTTTCCATCCCACAGAACATTCTTCGTGACCACTTTCCAGGCAATTCCACACGCACTGGCCAGGGAGCCGCCTTCGCCTGCCCCCGGGGTTTCACACTCATAGGGGCTGGTGGCCCGTGGCCCTGGGCTCAGGCTGGCTGTGCTCCTCCAGGGACTTCGGGTCTGTCTGCATCACTGCCTCGGGGGGTTGGTTCCCTCTCCCAGCT